GGCAGGTCAGATTAAAAATTACCTAATTGTTTCTTCTGGCTTTAATCTCTCTGAACTAAATGTGTCTGAAGTTAATAGGATGGTTTGCCAAATAAAGCCCTACGTGACTCTTTTCTTTTTTTCCTCCCCTTAAGGGTCCCCTTAAATGTTTATATCAATTAGTTTTGTAAAACCATTTTACCAAGACTGAATCTAAATGCATGGCACTGTGCCCTTTACAAGTGTCGTAGGCACAAAGAGCATTAACCCCTTCTTGGGAGAACTGATGTATTCTTAACATACGGAAAATGTCCCATAAATGTGAGGCATCCTTTTAGACCTTTAAAAGCAGACAACTAAATAGTACATAGTAAGCATCATGACCAGGTATTCTTCTATGTCTTTCTTACATGTAGGTAGGTGTTAGGTGGTTTTTTTTCATTTGCTCATGCATTCATCCAACACCGCTGGAAGCTGAAATAAATCACGGTGATGTCAGTGGAAAAACTGGTGTCTAAGCAAGAGGCACATCGCAGCCTGCGTATCTAGTGCATACTGCCATATTGGCTTGCTATATCACATGAGTAGTTTAGATGCCCTTTGTGGAAAGCTAGTCTTCCATGGGTATTGCAGAACTTGCCAGGTACTGTGTTCATGCTGGCTAGCGTATCAGAATTACAGGGGCAAGGGCTTGCATCCGTGGCAGTGGATGGCTCTAGGTTAAACATTTTAATGCATAGGGTATCTGTTTCTTATTTATGTTGCATTATGCCAGTTTGTACCAGTAGCTATAGTGTCTGGCTGTCCGTTTCCAAGCATCCAGTGGTAACAGTGTGGTATAGAGATGCTCAGGTCTTGTTTCAAAGCTCCATCCCCAGCTGCTGGAGGTGTGCTGGCCCTTGTCTGTATTGGTGTTGCGTTACGTGGTCACTCTCAAGTTGCTAATGAAACCTGGAAAACCAACTTTTTTCTCCCCCCCCCCTTGTGTGTGTGGTGTGCTTAAAGTGGAATGAGCATTAATTGAGTGACTTAACGGATGCCCTGAAAAAATATTGCAAGCTCCCTAATTCAGAGAGTTCCTTTACATAAGTCTTCTCTTGCAAACTTGCCCGCAGTTGATGTTTCTTTGAAGAGCCTGTGATGACTCTTTATCTATAGATGGTTGAAGCACGTTCAGCTCTGCCTGGATGTCAGTGGTGTTCAGCACTTCATTTTCAAAGAGAATTTGTTAACACAAGTGTAGACTGAGAGATGAAAGGATCAGTGTTAAGTCTCGTTTGAGGCGGCGAGACGCCAGACAGGAAAAGAAGGATCTTGAGAGATATTTGATTTCTCTGGTCAGTTGTGGCAGAGGAGTCTTTCTCTGAGAGAGAAAGAGCTTTCTCTTGGTGTACCTAAGACATAAGCTAAGGAGATTGCCTGGGAAAACAGGATGGACAACTCTACCACAATAGCCACTGCTGTCCAGAGCACTCCTTGTTTCATCTCCTCCTTCATCTGGGTTGCTGTGCTGCAGCCTGTGGTGTTTAGACCCTGTCTGCCTCCATCGAGGAGCTGTACTGAACAGTGAAAGGTTTCACCGAGTAGTGAAAAGTGACAGCTGAACATGGAAATGGAGATATTAAACACGGCATTTCCCTCTTGGCTGTAGATGAGCTTGTCTGTCCTTTCCCGTCCATGCTGATGGGCCCTGCTTTCTTCCAGCCAGCTCTCCTGGCATGAGTCCTCTTTTGGGACATTTGTCCCAATCCCTTGTGCTTGTGTGTCTCATCTTTTAAAATCATTGGCGTTGCTTGATTCAAGTTCAGCAGGGCTGAGTTCTGCTGGACCGGTTCCTGCCATGAACTGTAAGCTTTCCTCCCTGCAGCTCTGGGATGCACCATGATGCTCAGCCTCCGGTTGCAACGGGTGCCCTGTTTTTCCTTTCTGAGTGTGATCATGCTAACTTTGAAAGGCAGCACCCTGCTTTACTAGCGACGAGCACTGACACCAGCAGTGAAAATTGAAGGCACCACTGGAAAGATAACTCAACCTAGCTCTCGTTCAAGCAAACTAAACACAGCCTGGCAATTTCAGGAGGTGCCAGGACACTAGCCCTCTGCCAAGAGCAAATTAAGACCATACTTCTGGCCATAACCTGCTGAACTAGGAAGTGCCAGACGTGAGCCGTGGTACTTTATAAGCAAATACTGAATGGGATGGATCCCTTAGTGGAGTGCTCAAGTTTGGCAGTCGGATGGAGAGAGCTCTGAAGCTGTCACCTTGGTGCCAGGTTATGAAGAATGTGGTTGAGGGCTCCTTGCCCATTTTTGTCTCCTGTATCTTTGCAGGAAGAAGGCCCCCATCTCTGGAGTGGTTTAGCACCTTCCAGCAGCCTTTCATACTGCTTTTAATTTTTACATGCTGCTCTTGCAGATTTTTCTCCCAACTGTTTTCTCAAGTGTGTACTCTGATCTTTAAAAAGTATATATTTTTCTACTCTTATCAGCACATAATCAACAAGATTGCATGTATAGCAAAGTGAAACCAGCCCTGGGAGGGTACAGAGAGGTACGATTCAGTCCCAGGTGCACCTTTGTTCTCCGTCGGGCAGAAATATTGTCTAGCTCAGCCCAAGCAGAGCTCTCCAGAGAGCGTGATGCTGTTGGGATGTATCGATCTCTGGGCTGAACTCAGCATGTCTGTCCCCTTCTTGCTTGGTGCTGTGAGAGCAATAATAATAATTCTTAGGTTACTGCAATGCCTTGACTGAAGCGGTACCCAGAAAGGAGAGCGGCTTCTGGACCAGACCCTTAGACAGGGGCTGGTTTCGGCTTGTGGTCTGTGAAAGCTGTGGATTGCTGTGAAAGGCAAGTCAGAAAAGCTTAAACTTGCTGTTCAGGGACTTGGCCCACCTCTGCTGTGGTCTTATGTATGGAGAAAGATTGAAAATCATTTACTGAACAGAGCCACTTGCCCCAGAGTAATTAAAATTAATGTGCTTGGGGCGCAGAGAGGGGTTTGGAGGTCCTGGCTTGTCTGTCCCTCTCCCAGTGAGGATGCTCAGCCCTGCTCTGTGTAAAACTTGGCTAAGAGAAAGTTGGTCACCGAAAAAGCCACTGACAAAGAGCACACTTTATGATTTGGAGTTGGGAGCCAATTCACATCTTCAGGTGGATTTTTTTTGCCTTTTTGGACTTTGTGGAATCTAACCAAGTTGCCAGCCCTCCTGGTTCCCGAGGCACGTGGCTGTCCTGTGTTGTGCTGGTTGGGGAGCAGAAAGCTGATTCTAACAAAACTTCAGGGACCAGGACCTGCAGGTTTCCTGGGCATGCTGGCATCTGATCTGTGGGATGGCATGTGTTGGAGGCCAGCTGGATGGGAGCTGGGCCCGTGCTTTGGTTTGGCATTCGCCAGGTCCTGTGGTGTTTGTGAATTAATGCAGCCCCACAAGCTCTCCTGCCAGCCTGTGCCAGGGGAGCAGGTGCCATGCTGTCTCTGATTTTTTTTTTTGTTGTTTTCCTTCTCTTTCCACTTTCCCTTATGTTCCATGTTTTTTCCCTTTGGTCTAATGTTTGTTTCAGAATTTGGACATCAGGCTGGCTGACGAACTCTGCGAATGTCACCAATGCTGGGTGTTTTGGGGGGCAAATCTGCCTCTGCAGCAGCCACCAAAAGGCCAGCTCTGCTAAATGAAAGGGGCAGGGGACCCTGGTGCTTGCTAGCTTCCCCTGGGAGAAAGACACCTTCGATGCTCTGGTTTGTCACTCCCGCTTTCATGAGAGCGAGCATGTCTAAGGCCAGCGTGGCTCTCCAGGCTCTTCCCCATGTTGGTACACATGGTGGGGCTGGTTTCAGCATCTGCCTTCTCCAAAATGTGGCAATTTCTCCATGCATCCTCCTGGAGGGCCAGGAGGGAGCTGGGCCAGTCTGGGAGGTGATGCTCTACCTCAGAGCAAGCAAAAAAAAAGTCAACATCCCTCTGGTGTGAGCTTCCCCGTGGTGTTTCGGGTGCTTCTGGGTACCGTGGCTGGTGCCCCAGCTTCCCTGCATCCTTGTTTCTGGCCGAGGCTGGGTGAGCTCCAGGGCAGGCGCTCTGCTCCAAGCTCGGCTAGGGCCAGGCTGTTACACAGCCACCTTCATGTGCAATCACCATCCAGCGTCCTCTGCTTCCAGCCAGGCAACTCCTGTGCTGGGCCTTGCTCCTCTTTTTATAAACGGCTGTGAATTGCAGTCCTTGGTATGCAGGGAGGAGCTGGGAGGAGTGGGAAAGCTGCCTCTGGCAGGAGGAGAGCTTTATTGCACCCGCTGAAATGTCACGTTGGTGAAACCGCCGCGGGCGATGGCGTTCGAGTGATTTGGTGGACGTTTGTAGCCAGAGTCCATCTCTCCACAGAAACCAGACATCACGTGGCTCTCGCCTCACGCTGGAAGCTGTCACTGTCGCTAATATGACACATCAGAGATGAGATGCTGCTTCTCATTAGCATCAGGGGGTAAAGGGCATCCTCCAGAGGATTTGGCGTGGTGGCTGCCGCATCATTAACACAGGCGGCCAGCGGCAGCTCTTGGCCTTTCATTTGCTTTATATCATCTAGTCTGATAAAAGATCTGGATGCTTGGAATAATTGTTGGTAATGGCTAACGAGGAATTGTCAGGCATGTGATTGCCACGTCTTTTATCTGCGCAGCAATGTGGCAGACTTGCAGCCTGGTGCCGCGGCAGTATATATTTGTATTTTGCCAACACCTGCGCACCTCAACCTGCGTTGCCTGGGGTGATGGATGAGCATGGAGTGTGTCCTCAAGTTTAATAACTTAAAGGCCAAAGCGCTCAGAGTCTCACGTATATCGATATTTCTTTTTTCTTAATTAGCATTTACAATTATTCTTCCCTAGTGCCTGCTTTTAAGACAGGCTCACCGGGAAGCCTGCCGTGTTTTGTTAGCCCTGGGGTGTGTTTTTAAGCAAATGGCTGGATAAGCTACTCCATGAGGAGAGGAGGCCAATGGTTGTTTTCTTCCTTCTTTTCTGTTCCCTAGAAATTGGCAGCTGAATGCCAGAGTGCAGGCTATCCGGGGACCCTCATCCCGTACAAATGCGATCTCTCCAACGAAGAGGAGATCCTGTCGATGTTCTCTGCCATCAAGACCCTTCATCAAGGAGTTGATGTCTGCATCAACAACGCAGGGCTGGCTCGCCCGGAGCCCCTGCTCTCGGGGAAAACGGAGGGCTGGCGGACAATGATAGACGTGAGTAGTGCCACTGGGAGAGGGGGAACTGTGCTAGATTTTTATTTCTTCTGGCCACCAGCAGCATTGTCCCCATCTACTTATTTCACATGTGCAGAGCTGAGGACCTGCTTCCCATCTGGCTCTGACATGGCCTGGGTTTGCTGATTGGGAAGTGGAAAGACATCATGCACTGCTGATGCCTTCAGCTTGGAGTATGAAAACACTCAATACCTTCAGCAGCACTTTTTCCTTTAGCTCTATGGCTTTCTAGAGGGTGATGAGCCTCACTTTTTTTTTTTTCTTCAGTAAAATAGGAAATTGAATGCCAAGCACTGGCTTTTGTAGCTAATCCTGTTAGTTGTAGCAGTGGGTTGTAAAATGGGCAGATTCTTTTTAGCTTAAAAAGCTGTAATGCTTTTTGTCTTTATAGCTTAATTTTCTGCCCATAATCTGGTTAGAGCTGGATATGAATGAGGCAATTTCGTATGCTGAACTGGGAGTTTGTGCAAATGGTCCATGCCATTTACTAGCAGCGCTTCTCCCTGGGTCTTGCTGCCCTGAGGTGCTGCTGTGCATCTTTTTGGGACTTCACCATCTTTTGTCATTATGTGATGGCCCTTTTCTGCACATAGCAGTGGTAGCCACAGCTCTGGGACCCCAGGCCAGTTTGCGTGCCCTGGCAACAGCCCTTTTGTACTGGCCTTCCTGCAGCTCTGGCCGGTGAGATGCTGAAACAGGAGCTTTTCACGAAGGTGATTTTCCCCTCCTGTACTTCTGCGTGTGAAAGCGTTATCTTCATAGGAACAGGAGTCAAACTCATGGCTTTGAGTAAGTCTTGTAGCACCTCCAGCAGCTATGGGAGCTTGTCCTAGTGAAGGAAAAGACATGTCTATTTGAAAAGCTGCTCGAAGCTGTAGGCTTGGGGCCTCTACATCTGACAGCGGAGGCAGACAGGATCTGTGGGCTCCTGTGGCAGCTGGTGTCTGTTCATCCAGCAGTAGTTTCAGGGACTGTGTAAAGCAAAACAGAGAGGCACATCGAGGCCTCAGACTCCTGCTGCCAGGGCAAGAACTGCCGTATCCTGGCTAATTAAGTTCTTGTTAGGATTTTGGCCGGTCTGCTGGCTGCTGCGACTGCAGCCAAAGCGAGCTCAGCTCAGCTTTGTCTGCCCAGCCAGGCTTTTGTGGGTTGCCCAGCCTGGGTCACTGCACAGCCGCATCTTCCCGTCGCTGGTTGCCATGGAGTCTTTAAATAAAATTAAGTGAAGTGTAGCTGAGGCTGAGCTGGTATAAAGCAGGGCACTTCCCAGCGTTGTCTCGCTGCAAGCCTGGCCCTGTGGGTCGCCTGCGCCTTGTAAACTCCTTGTCCTCGTCACTGTGATCGCATCTTGTGTGGATGCCTCTGTGGATGCTGCGTGTCCCTCGTGCTCGTTTGTCTTTGTTCTTCTGACCTTTTGTTCTTTGTAGGGTGGGCAGGCAGGGGACACATGCATGGCTTTTGCCAGCTGAAGGCTCTTCCCCTCTCTGTGCTCCTTTCCCTGGCTGCTCAGCTGGGAGTGCTCTCTTTATCTCACCTTCCGCCACTTTTAGGGAGAAAAATTTTGGAACAGGGATTGTCCTGTGTGAAACACTCCAGTGTTGGTATTCACAGTGGCTCAAAGTTTGGGAGCCTGTGGTATCCCCCTCCTTGTGGGTGCTGCTGTGTGCACCCTTTGGAGCTGCTTCGGGATGACAGATGGGGTGGGAGGAGAGGCAAGGTGGTGGCTCTACAAGAGCAGCATTAGGAAACCAGGCTGGGGACATGTTTTATTCCCAGAGGTGATCTGTACGGCTATATCTGCTGTCATTGCTTGGCAAAAATGCTGTTGCAGCACTAGGAACAGACTGAGACACACCCAAGCTTTCTTCCTATACTGGCAGATTTTTTTCCTCTGACCAGCTTCCCAGCAGCTGGTGGGTTTGCTCTTGACTTGTGTGTAATTGAATAACACTTGTACCTTTAATGCAAAGGTGAAGCCCTGGGAAACTGTAGAGCCAAGTGCTTCACCCACCTCAGCCTAGGCAGCCTGACAAGCCTGGGCTTTGCTTTTTAGCCTGCTGGGAAGCAGTAGAAATAGCTCAGGGTTTTTCCTTTTGCTGTGTCCCCCCGTTTTGTGGCAGCAACCTCCCTGCTTGGGAATCTCGCTCTCCAAGCATGCCGTGGTTGTGCAAGCACCGGCGTGGCAGTGGGGTTTGAGGAGGGATCTGCAGTGACAGCTCTCCCCGCTGTGGCACGCCAGCCCCAGGGAAACACTCGCCAGGCCTATTTTTCCTCCATGCTCTGAAGCTCTCGGAGGGTCAGGACGGCGGAAGGTTGCCAGCACCTTTCATGGGCCACTGGGCTTTGCAGAGCTGAGCAGGAGCAGGGAGGCTTCTTCCAAAGGTCGCTTGGAGAAAGGTGTTAGAGAGCAGCACCGTTTGAGATGCTGTTGGAGAGTTTCAGTGTACTTCTGGGCTGCAAGACAGGAAAAGTTTCTGAACAGCCATTGATCTATCGATTTAGCAGGCATTAGGGCCTTAAATTAAAGGCATTTTTTTCTTTTTGGTAAATTGATTTTTGTTTCCATGCATTTTTTATGACTTTGAGGCTCTGTCTCCTTCCAGGCTCCCCTCTCAGTATACCTATTCCATAAAATCTCTTGCTATACATCTAACAGTCGAAAGCATGTTATCATTTACTTATTCCTCCTCTTTTTTAATGTTCCAGTTCCTTATTGTCTGGTATTTATTCCCAAGGGGGGAGCTGCTTCTCCCTGGGCTGCAGGAGTCGTATGTTAGGAATTGTGTCTCCGTTGTTTTACAGCAGCGCAGAGCCCAGCATTGCCAGTCAGTAAATTTGGTGTGTGTGCAGGAGGGAGTGTGTTATTGCAGGCAGGTTCTAAGCCCATCATCTTTTGGTTCGCAGCTTCCCCCCTTTTCTCTCTACTTGTTTGTGAGGTTGTGCTTGACATGAGGCTGGAGCAAAGTCCTCCAGCCGTCCCTGATCCAAGCGGGAGTAGCCGGGGCTGGGTGCTGTGTACACACTGACTCCAGGCTCTGGGATTTGAACAGCTCCTTCATGTTTTACCTACTGAGCTTTACAGCCAGGAATTCAAGCTGAACTTTCCATTTGCACTGTTCAGGGCACAAAGGACTGCAGCACACATCCTCTCCCTCCTTTAGACACTAAATGGGTTTGACTCTTCTTGGCATTATTCATTGACCAGCAAGGCTCTGTTCTTCTTGCTTTTATATACCATCTGTGCAGAGATATGTTTTCCGTAACCTGCATTTTTATATATGCTTAGGAGCTGGGATACTCATTTTGATGCCTTAGAAAAGGCTGATTCTGGGAAGTGAGATGCTCAGTGCTTCCAGGAACAGGATCTTTTATGTTCTCCCAACCTGGCAATTGGAACTCATTAATTGCTAGAAAATGTGCCTTCATTGTTTCTGTTGCATTAGCGCACACACGCGGCAGTCACAGACCTGCTGCCTTGTGCAGCGTGCTGTGCAAAGGCAGAGCGCAGATGTGTTGGCCATCTTTGCTAAGGGACCTTTGAACCTTTTGTTCTTAAAATAGGAATGAGGCTGAAAAATGTCTTGCGTGGATATTTGTTAACAACAGCCTTTAGATTGTTTCTCAAAGCGATACAGCCCTAAACCTTGCTCATTTTCCAGGCACATTTTTAGGTTCCCAAGTGCCTTTTCCGTGTTTTGAAATGGGATTTCACCCAAAAATCCTGTGGGTGCTCTCGGGAAAAGGCAGCGAGGCAATCCCAGCTCAGTTGCCTTCCAGCCAGTTGTTTTGTTGTACCACGGTGTCTTACTGTACAGGCTCTGGACTTTCCCATGTGGCTGTTGATTAGTATCTTGCTTTGCCAGTAGTTGTCAAAATGTTGTAATTCTACCCACGCAAGGAAGCATTGCTCAGCATGAATCACAGCGTTGGAGCCTGTTCTCAGGCTTTAGGCTGATGTTACCCTCTAGCGGCCTACGGAGATGGAGTAGAATCAGGGAGTGACTGCACTAAAGATGTGGTGCCTGGTGGGTTCAGGGCGTCTTGGGGCAGGGAGGAAAGCAGGGATGTTGCTTGTCATGAAGGCTTTTTATACTAAAAGTTGCCCGTATCCATATCTGAAAGGACTGGCTCCTCACTTGGTTAGTGTATCAGACTGGAGCGGGTTACTCCTGCTTTCCTTGACCACCTTACTGTAAAATCCAGAAGCCTTCCATGCCCTGCCTGCTCTGGGCTTTGCTCCAATGCTGAGGTGCTGCTTCTGCTGACATGTCTGCTAACTTTCTTCCTTGCACAGCCAAGGTAAATCTTCAACCTGGTGCTGGGGAATTATCTCTGTAGTTCCAGGTATGATCACTGAGATATCCGGCAGTGACTGTGTGCTCAACCAAAGTGCACTTGGATGAGGATGATGACTCAACTTGTGTTGCCTGGGTACCCCAAGATCAGATAAGCATGCTATTTATCTGTCGCCAAGACAAAAACTCACAAGCATGGCCTCTAGTAATGAATAGGAAATAATGACCGAGACAAAAGCAGTGACCGAAGATCCTTCAGCTGACCCCGCTCGTCCTTTGTGTGCTGCTCAGTAATTACATCTCCCAAATCCATCCCTTTCTGCCTCTTATTTTCTGGTCTCCAAACTAATGTTCCTCTCTTGCATGTCCTTTTGTGCTAGCAAGTCATAGTTAGCCTGCCCCATTCTTGTTTATAAGTTTCACAGCAATGATAGATAGCCAGCCCTCTTGTATCCTTTGCTCGCTGTCCACATGGCCTTGTTCCTGCTGCTCCTCCCATTTATAGTTGCACCTGACTTCTGATTCATCAGAAATTTAGTTCTTCCTGAATATTTAGTTGACAGTGGTGTTTTTAGACCTGTCTGGCCTGCTCATTTAGTTAGCAAAGTGACATGCCATTAGGTAGGACACCTGGCAGTGTGTCTTGCCTTGAAACGGTGTTACATCCTTTCTAGAGGGCTTCAGCGGACACCTTCTACCATTCAGCCACTTTTCCAAGTCTAAACCACTATAAACTTAAGCAGTTAGCACTGCTGCTGAGACAGCTTGCTCATCAGTCGTGCACACACCTCTGGGTGCTTTGTATTCTAGCTGGGGGAATTTCCATATCTCTGTCTTCCTGGAAACTTTGACTCTGTGTTTTATGGTCAGCAAATGCTCAAGGCATCTGCACATTAACGATGGCACATTGCAGAGGTGATATGACTGAGTTTAACCAAGCAACAGTGTGCTGGGCAGTTCTGGTCCAAAGAGCAAGAGCCTGGAAAGCTCTGGATCCTGTGCTAAAGGACTGGATAAGTTGCCATGTCCTTTCTTCCTTGGCTTATCCAGTTAGGGCTGAGGAAAATGTCAGTGGACAGGGTGACAGACTGGTGGCTTTCGTATCTGCGGGGTTACTTACCCGCTCTGGCCTTCCCCATGGCACAATGTGATCTTTGGCTTCATTTGTGCACGGGAGGCTCTTTGCTGGCTGTGTGGTTTGCAGTGCCTCTGAGTGCCTGGTGCTCTGACAGGCGATATCTGGGGATTTCCTCGTTAACTAACTGACCTAATTACCTGCTGTTAGTGTCCTGTCAGCTGCCCAAACACCAGTGTGCTCAGTGCTGTACAAAATAAACAACTTTGTCTCCTGGACAGAGTGCTGACTGTGGGGAAGTGGGTTCATTCTCCCTTACATTGCACTCTACCCTCACACTTGCCTGTAAAACAATTAAGTCCATTAATTTCTGGCAGAGGCCAAGGCTGTCTCACAAAACTGGGTATCTGTGCCTCCCCTGCCCAAACCCCTTGTGACTGCAGCCCTGAGCTTGGTCGCAGCGTGATGTGGCTTGTGCAGCAGGCGTGCAGTGTGCGTATGTGCATTTCCCTCTGCTGGCGTTTGCAGGAGTTGCTGTGGGTTGGGGACTGGAACCTGCATCCGCAGCTTCGGGCGTGCAGGGGGCAAGTCAAAGGGTGCCAGGCAGGGCTGCTGGTCTTAGTTGCTTCTTCTTTTCTCTTCCCTCAGGTCAATGTGATGGCTGTGAGCATCTGCACCCGAGAGGCCTACCAGTCCATGAAAGAGAGAAACATCGATGATGGGCATATTATTAACATTAACAGGTATGCAGGGGGGAATGTGGGATCAGCCACGTGGGCCGCCTCCTCCCCACCTTGCAGTGAGGATTTAAGCAGTGGTGCTTTGACCTTGGAGTGGGCTGATGGTGCCCAAGAAGGGGTTTTCCAAGGATTGCAATGGTTGATTTTCAAACCACAGTTTTTTAACCTCTGCTGGTCTAAATGTAAGAAAGACTGAACCAGGGAGAAAAGGATAATGCCAACCACTTGCAATGGTGTAGGGCTGAAAATTGAAAGTTCTTGACCAGCTCCAGAAAACAGCTGTGTCGAGAGGAACCTCTGGTGGTGTGCGTTTCCTGAAGGAGAGGAGAATTCCTCACATAGCCACCATCTCAGTGTCTCTTTCTGTGTTCGTTACGGTGGTTTGAATATCCTGTTGGTTCCTTCTCGGGACTCTGCTTGCTCCCCCACCTCTCAGCTCTTTCCTTTCTGCTCTCTTCTCAGCATGAATGGCCACAGCGTCGTGCCACAGTCGGTGGTGCATTTTTACAGTGCCACCAAGTATGCAGTTACAGCCCTCACGGAGGGGCTGAGGCAAGAACTCAGAGAAGCAAAGACTCATATACGAGCTACAGTGAGTACCGTGGGCTCTCTTCTGGTGTCCTGCTTTTGTGGGTGGTAGAGAGCTGGCAGGCTTTATGGGGCAGAGGTTTTCCCTTTGGAAAACAGGCAAGGAAATGCAAAAATAGTGCTCAGCACACTGGGAATGTTCAAGTCCTATGGCCAACTGTCCCTGACCACCTCTCTTTCCCAGGCAGAGAGAGACAGGTGCAGAAGGCATGGCAGCAATGAGCTGTGTCAGGGAATAAACTTTTTGGGTGCACAAAGTGGGCAGTTCCTTGTTGGGGAGTGAGGGGGGCTCATGACAGCAGAGGGAGGCAGTCAGCTGGGCTGTTTGCTCTCATTCAGGACTTGAATCTCAGAAGTGAGGTGTCCAGACGTTAATTTGTATTGCAAGCTTTTCCATCATTTTCTCTGCTTCTCTGTCCCTTTGGGACATGAAGAGGGAAGTACCCATCAGCGGTTTCCCAGAGGTACTTGCCACAACAGTCATTAAGGCAAAGTCTGCTGTCTTAAACTATTCCCCTAGAAAAAGGGTGGAGAGGGAGAACAATAGAAAGGGGACTGGGGGTTTTTTTGGCCTTTTCAGTGCTAAAAAGTTTTCTCTCCTTTTCTTTTATTCTTTTATTGAAGGAGAATTACAAATCCTATTAGGATGTGCTCTGCTTTTTTCCAGTGTATATCTCCAGGACTGGTGGAAACGGGATTTGCTTTTAAACTTCATGATAATGACCCTGAGAGAGCTGCTGCAACATACGAGAGCATTCGGGTAGGACATGAAGAAATGGAAACAGAGGGAAGTGGCTCTGATTATGGTTTTAACACTCTCTCTCCTGGCTAGTAGCATAAGGAACTAGTTCTGCAGAGTGCCCAGTGCTTTCCAGGATGTAATCAGCATCCCCAAAGTCTCAGCACTCAAACCTCAGATTTTGCACTGATACTTATACGCTATGTAGATTTTTCGTTCAGGTTCAGTTTCCCACTCCCTATATTTTTCCTTTTATTCTGATGTTCCTGTAAATAAATATCAGTCAGCTTTGGCATTTGGCAGGCTATGACTTCTTTATTGAAGAGAAGATATGTAAGCAAACATGCCTACACAAGGAGAAATGTGAGAGCATGTTGTCTTGCAGATGGCTAGCACAAGATTTCTTGTGCTTTTCTGGGAATTTTTTATAAGGATGGCAATGCCTGACCTGGCAGAATTACTGTGCCAGTAATAAGATTATTCACAGCAAATGGAGAACTATCAGCACCAGACATGGCCTTTGTTAAATTTTTAATGGATTCTTTTTTTCCTGCTTGCTTGCATCTTTTTGACATGCCCCAGTGACACTGTCGAAACTCATTATTGATGGCTAGGAAAGGAGCAATCTTGTGGTTAACTTTGAGGTGCCCTTTGACTGAGAATCTCTTTCCTGTCTTTCCAGTGTCTCAAAGCTGAAGATATGGCTAACGCTGTCATATATGTCCTCAGTGCCCCACCTCACGTACAGGTAGGCTGTGGTTGGGTTGGAGGACTGCTGTGGGTGGCTGAAGGCAGAGTGGGTAATTGCTGCCCTGACATTTGCTAATCAGCGTTGCGGCCGCTGTGTCAGGTGTGTGCTTAGCAGAGCCTGGGCTGGGGATTAGCAGTGATCACGTTTGTTTACACTCCCTTATGGCAGCTATAGGATTGCGCCGCTTGGGCTGCTCGCAGCCCTGCGGATCCAGCAAAGGCTGCTCTGACCCCAGAGAAGGACTGCGCGAGGCAGGGGGAACAGGAGGGATATGGGCATGTTTTGCTCTTTTTTTGGATGGTGCCGTCTGAGACTTGCTGACAGTCTTGCAGCTGGGTGAGGTTCTGCCAGTTGTCGGATAACATGTTGGCCTGATCCTGCCAAGTGCTGTGCACCTCCCCAAGGGTGGTGTGAGGTGCTTGTGCTGCCAGTGGGACTTCCCTCCTGTGAAACAAGAAATAAGTGACCAGCTCTGAGCTGGAGCCAGGAGGAGGCAGAAGCAGTGTCAAAGTTTACTATATGCAACATAAAAGTTCCTGTTGCAAAAGCAAACTTTGATCATGAGGGGTTTAGCAGCCCCTTGAGTGAACTCTGCACCTCTGGAGCAAGATGTGGCCGTCTTGACATCGGATCAGTAGTGATAGCTGGCCTTCTTGTCTTAAGACGATAGAAAGTCCTGCCTGTGGCCGATCAAGCAGTGCTTCTGCTTGACCCGCTGTGAGCAGGACCAAACTAAAGACTTGAACCATGAGAGTTTATGTATAATCAGTGTCATCTTGCACTCTTTTCTGTGCATGTTTGTGCTTTTATTCCTTCCGCTAAAGGCAGAGCAGTCACATTCACCTTAATTTATTTTTAATATCTCGGTGAAGCAGGCTCATTTCTGGTCACGGAAACTTTCTTCATGTGCAGCTTGCCATTGTAATGGTGCAGCATGGCAGTGCCCAGCGCAGGATTTAAAATGGACTTCAGTGCTCCGGTAAAATCCTGTGTTGGTCTCTTCTAGATTGGAGATATACAGATGAGGCCCACGGAGCAGATATCATAGCAAATGAAGAAGACCATGAGCAGCACCGTGTATCCACTCCACTTCAAACCCTCTGGCAATTTAGGGTTTTGTCGGCTGGCTAGCAACATTTTAATCAAGTACCAAGGATCACGTTTGAAGAATTCTTTTTCTCTCCCTCTCTCTGAGCTGGTGCTGGTGCTGAGCCAGTTTAAAAAGAAATAGTAGTGGGTCTCTTTCTCCCCCACTCCTTTCTGAAACTGCTTAAGAGTAAAATGTATTTGAAAATAATGCAGGGAAGTGGTTTGTGGAAGATTGTTGTCTCCAGGCTGGTTTATTCTTCCTTTTGCTTTCTTTTCAAGGTTTGTTTGATCTTATTTGCTGATGCTGTGTCTGGACATAGGTGAAGTGGCACAAAATGTCTGCCAGCTTCAGTGTGCTTAGGGTTTGAGATTTTCAGTGGATGTCATGCATGAATCCATCTAAATTTTGGGTTTATTTTCATCACGTTGACTACTGATGGTAATGATGCATGTGATATTTTCTACTTCTTTTGTACTCCACTGCCCTAAACCCAGTGTACAATCTCACCCACCTCCCCAAACACTCCTTTCCCATTCACATGAATTATGCCTGCCAAGTTTGAGGAAGTATAAATGTGTGTGCTTGCTATTTCTCTTTCTTTCTAGGTAGGTAGGTAAATAGTTGGAGGAAAAGTACCTGTACTTCTGCAGGTTAGAATGATCACCTAAGTGGCATAGTTACAGTAAGAGTGAGTTGTTTGGTATTTTTAATAAAAACTAAATGTGTGCTGTCTTGTGATCACCTCTATCCTTGGTATCATCTCCCAGCACTCTTGATGTTTTTGTATGTGATATTTGCATGCATTGACACTTTTCTGGAAATATTGATCGGTCTTAGAAAGATGTATGGTGCTGTTTAAATGCTGGTGCTGATGAGTTGGAAATGTTGAAAGTTTGTTTATATGCAGAGATACAAACTCGGAGAGAGAGAGAGTGAAATGAACCATGCCGAAGCCGTCCAAAATGAAAAGATATTAGTAGGGGCATTTGCCTATGAAGCAGCAGGTAGAAGGTCTGGTTCAGATCTCATACTAGTTCTACGCTGGTGCAGCCCCATTGTTTTGCTCTGGATTTATTCGAACTTGAGAGAGAAGAGAATCAGCCTCAAAGCTGATACATGCAGAGCTGGAGACAACTTGAATTGTCTTAAGACTCTTGCAGTGTGGCAGAAACACGTCTGTGTGTAGTCTCTGCTGCAGAGTTATGGAGCTGTTAAAGTATATGTTGCCTTAAGATTGCAGACTCGCTCCTGCTGCACTCTGGACTTTCTGTAGTGTTTCAGAAGGCAAACCGTTGGTTTAGGTGGAGTAGGTATGGCCAGTTGATTGGAGCGGAGGATTGGGAGCCAGAGAAACTTGGGTTGGATTGTTTTGCTTACACCAGTATAGCTCTGTGGGAGTTCATCTGTGTTACACCACCATAAGGGAGACCAGCACTGGGCCACTACATCATGAGTTTCAACTCCCTGTAAAGCCTTGGGCAAGTCACTTTACCTCTCTGCCTCAGTTTCCCCATCTGTAAAATGGGGATAATAATACTTACCTACCTCACAGGGGTGTTGTGAGGACTCACAAACTTTTGTAAAGCACTTTGAATATGAGAAGCGCTATGTAAGTGCTGAGTGTTGATATGAAGTATTATTATTAATTAAATCTTGTGATACATAGAATTCCTTGTGCCAAAGGTGAGCTACTGTGGAAGGATACAAGGAGAAAACTGGTAAAATGTTCGTTTGTAATGGCAAAACAAATGCAATTTGCCCCTTTTTTTCCTCTTTATAAATACATGCTCATGGTGTGTTCTGTCCATTCCTCATCAGTCACCAGTTTCTACTGGCAAGTACACATAGCCTCATCTCTGGATTTGGCTTTCTGACTTACTGTGAGTGACGTTCATGCCCTGTGGTGCAGTCTCGCACCACTGTAATGCACTGCCCTCTTCCACCTTGCTGAGGCGGTGGCTTTGTGTGGGTTCTTTGCACAGAGCTGGGTTTCACCCCCAGCATTGGGTTGGATAGTGTCCTGCAAGGAGCGGCCAGTCCAGGTCTGCTCGCAGCCAGCGATCCTCACTGCAGCAGAGAGCCTGCGCCAGCTGGAAAAGCTCTTCAGTCTCCATGCCACCGTGATCCTCAATTCGGAGGGACTTGGCTAAGGAAGGTTCAGGCACTACTGTGCTTTTTTATAATGTCCCTGTGATGTTCAGCTAGACTTGATATGAAAACTCCCAGTGTTTTCTGTAGGGTTTCTTTTGCAGGAGCCTGTTGAAATTCAGCAGATTTGCTGTGCAGTGTGTGCCATCTTTTTAAAGAGGAGATGGTTGCACTAGGAGTTGGAGGCCAAAAAAACAAGTTGGGAAATGAGGAACTTCTGAGCAGAAAAAATATGAGCAGGGATGTGGGTACCACTGGTGAAACATCTGAATTGGTGGCTGCAACTGTGTACAAAGTTAAGCAGATGTTGAAATGCATGGCTGAGGAGGGACCTAACTTAGCTTTCTGCTCTGCAAAAGGAGGCTTCAGAGAGAATTGCTTAAAATGCAAGGCCTTGAAAAAGGGCCAGTCTGGGTAGTTGCTCCCTGCAAATACAACCTGGCTGACCTGCAGCCCTGGAAGTTTGGGTTTTTCTTCCCCAAGAACATTTGTAACGTTTGCAAGTCTATAAAATAACCTTGAAATGATATCCAGTATATTTTTCCATTTCGGATGTGTTTTTAGGGGATAATTCCTGCTGCCCGTTAACTTCCCACGTGAAGCACGGCCTGTGGAGGGGTTTGTTGCGGGTTGTTTGGCCACTCTGCCTTGTGTAACCTGGTGGCACCTTGAGCCACCTTCCTGGGATGAGATGGGATTGGCAGCACGACTCTGAGGCATTTAAAACCCCCAAACAGGAGGGTGAACTGTGTAATTTATCAGTAGGTTTCTAATTGTGAACTGTAAAATAAAGAATAAAAAGAGAGGCACACTGTGGTTCTTTTGTTGTGTGTATGGTAGTTTTTGTGTTAAAACATACCATCCTTCTTACTGTTCACAGCTAAACCTTTCTTTTGTGAAGAGTTCAAACAGAAATGTGTGGTTTTGGTTCTTTGTGAGAAAAACTGTAATTGCTTTCTAGAGCAGAATAGCATCCAGTTGTTTCACGGATAACCTGTGGAGGTTGGACTCGCCCGTCCTTGTTCAAATGAAGCCGCACTCCACAGGGGTTCGCTGAAATCCCCAGGTAGGCTGCTGGGCATGGCTGGGTTTGACTAAACTATGCAAGGGATGAGCCGCTGCTGGTACTCGGACTTGGATATTGAACTCTTTAAGTCTCTCGTGCTTGCCTCAAAGCAAGACAGATTACCGTCGTCATTAACTGAAGGCATTTTTTGTTCCCCAGTCCCCTTTCAGCTTGTCCAAGAGCAGAGGCACATTCCTGAGCTCAGGTTTGCTGTCATTGAAATACAAGTTTTTTGCAAGTAAGTAATGAATAGCTGAATTGGATTTGAGGCAGATATTTTGGATACCTTGTAAATAGGTAGAGAGCATTTGTAGAATTAAAACCATGGTTTTTTCCTATTCTTGTGCCTTTTTTTTTTTTTTGTCATATATAGTATATATCATCAGTTATGTTAACTTGTTTGCTGGAGGTACAGTAGTTTTATCTGGCAGATTATGTGATCTCAGGGGACTAGTCCCAGCTCTCATTTTTGGCGGGGGGAGGAACCACGAGCACAGTTGGCTCTGGTAAGCAGCAGGAAAAACATGGCTTTACTTGAGATCTGTGAACCTGCAAAAACAATTTCATTATATTTTTGAGGCCTGAGGTAAGTCATCAATGCTTCAGACTAACAGTATAGAAAAGGACTGAAAAAACTTCTGGTTCTCTCTGCAAAATCCTTTTAAAATAATATTGTTGTGGTTTGTCCCCCATGACACACCCACACAGGCACGTTTGACTGAGGGATAAACCCCTGGAAGCCCTAAACCTATTGCTGTGAATGACCTGGCTCTCTGTTTGCCTGTCCCCTTGTCTACCCATTTATGAAATTAAAATAATGCCTAATTATAAGAGCAGCATTTTGGTGTAAAGTTACAGGTTCGGAGTGAGTGCCCGATGCTCTCGGAGCCCTTTCTGTCCGTGTCTGGAGAAGCATGTTGCCATTACGGTGCCTGGGCAGTAATTAATTAGGCTAGGACGTTACCCTCAGAACGTGCATTTCCAGCCGATGAGATGCTGTTTGGGCAGTTTCCATTGTCTGTGGGGTTTTACAGCCTGCCTGAGCCCATGTGGCCTTTGAGAACGAGGTCAGAGAGAAATCCCCACTCCCTGGGCTAACTGCAGTTCAGACACTCATTTTTTTAATATTAAAAATATCTGGGCTAGGCCAGGGTCAGGACTTCCCAAAGCGCTGGTGCTTTTGTTGCTGGACCTGGGTGGTTGTTTGGGCTGGGGTCTGTGGGATGCAGCCCCTCACCCCAGTCTTTGTGAGATGCCCTAATGAAGCGGTTAAAGGCTGTTTTCTGGTTAATTAAGGCCCTGTCAGTGGAGGCTGAGGAGGGAGGGTGTGTCGGCTCCCCTCTGGCTCGGGGCAGCACCAGCCTTGCCCTTTGCAGCCCTCACCAATGGGGTGACCCAGCTCAGCCTAGAGGTGTGGGGTCGAAGCCCCCCTTCTCCCTCACGGCTGCTGGGGGCCCGTCGTCGGGTTCTGGCTGGGGGGAGAGGCTTCAGTGCCCGGGAGTTGAGGCGAGGGGAGCTGAGGTGAGGCGAGGGGAGCTGAGGGGAGCTGAGGTGAGGGGTGACCGTTATAAGAGGCGGGAACGAGCCGGGCGCCGGCTCAGCTGCGCTCCCGCCCACCGCCAGGCGGCGCTGCCGCGCGGGGGGGAAACCCCCCCCCCCCTCCGCTCGCTGGTGCCGTCGCGTGCCCGCCCGGAAGCGGGGCGACGCACGCGGGCGGTAGGAGCGGGGAGGCGGCGGGGGCCCACGCGTGTCCGCGGCGGCCGCTGCGACCGGCAATTCCTCCTGCTGTGCCGGGGAGTCCCTTCAACCCGCCCCGCACGTGTCCGTGCCCCCTGCCGCCCTCCCGGTTTTGCGGCCGGGGCGTCCCTGGACTGGGTGCCCCCCCCCCCCCGCGTTTGTGTCCGTGGGGCGGTGCGGGGCCGCCTCCTGTCAGCTCAGCCGCGGCTTGAGGCCGCACCGCCTCCCGCGGGCAGGCCGCCGGCGCCTGCCCTGGTCTCTGTTGCGTGGAAAGGCCTTTAGGGGCAGCCATGGAGCGAGCGCTCAAGTCCAGCATCTGGAGGGCCGTGGGGCTGTCACCCGCGAAGTGCGGCCGTGGGTGGTGGGGGGTGAGATACCGCTCCGCTCGGGAGCAGCGGCCCCCGGCCTTGGGTGGGGATGAGGAAGGGCCACCCCGAGGCAGGAATGGCAGAGGTCAGCTTCCCCCACTGGCCCTCCCGGAGGTTTCTGGAGCGGTGGCAGGCTCCCGTACCTCCCACGAGGGCCTGGCCCCACAGAGACGGCCACGGCCGTGGCACGTGTCGTATGAGAGAGGGCCCAGGCGGGCTGCAGCAGCCAACAGGGAGTTGTGGAGCTCGCAAGAGACTGACTTCTCGAGGGCGAGGAAGAGGCTGGAAGGAAAGCCTCTGTCCATCGAGAGGACTAAAGGCTCAGAGATCTTGTTTGGGATCGCGCCGTGTTCCCTGGCCCTCTCTCAGTCGAGAAGGGACCTGTTCAGGTTGTTCCTCAAGCAGAGCAGCGGCTCTCGGCGGCTTGTTATGAGCGAGTTTGTCCTTCAGGCCACGGCCCGGGGAGTCCCCGTGCATCACGTCAAAAGAAGAGAGCTGGATGCTCTTTGCAGAGGTGGGGTCCACCAGGGAGTTTGTTTGGAGGCCACTCCTCTCCATTTCAAGAGTTTGGAGGAAGCTGAAAAGCCTGATTTGGGGGATGAAGAGCGTCCGAACCGACAGCTGATTTGGCTCGTGTTGGAGCAGATCCAGGATCCCATGAACCTGGGGGCACTGCTGCGCTCTGCGTACTTCCTGGGGGTGGACAGAGTGGTGACAAGCCAGAGGAACAGGTATGGGGTTGGTTATCTGCTCCCTCAGCTTTTCTTTTTCTTTTCCTGCCGGCTCCCAGAGAGGTTTCTACCCTGCATTGCTTGACAGCTTCTTTAGAGGCCTTTCTGGGACTGAGCTTGAGAGCTGAATTTGGCTAGCTGCTGCTTTGCGTTGCGCTCTGCAGGGAGGCTGCGGGACGTGGTGTTCCAGGCTGGTAAGGAACCTCCCTGGGTACTTTTTGGTTTAACCTGTTTTGTGTTTCAGTTGTCCATCTGTGCACAAAACTGCTGTAACCTATTTCCTGGGTTAATTTCTGAGCCCTCTTATGCTCCATAGGAAAATATATCCGTATAGCGAGTGAGATCTTTAGTGGGCTAGTTGGAATTGGGTTGCAGAGGCAAGAGAAGGAAATACAGAAACAAAAATTCTCCTGGATTTCTTTTTTTGCTGTCATATTACACTTTTCCTTTCTTTTTTCCTTGCAGCTGCCCCTTAACTCCGACAGTGAGCAAAGCTAGCTCTGGAGCTATGGAAGTCTTCGATGTCTACAGCACAGATGATCTCCGGAGCTTTTTGAAGGTAGAACGATCCTTTTTTTTTTTTTTTTTTTTTTTCCTTTCAAGGAACCTCAAATATTGCATTTGTTGAACAGAGAGGAGTACAGGAAAAGGACTCAGTTATTTGCAGTGTCCTGTGCTCCTGCTCTGCATTCCTGTTTGCTGCCGGTGGTCTGTGCTGTCGGACCACCTCTGACAGGCGTGTACCCCATCCCATTCCATCGGGTGGGGTAACAGGTCTGAGTTGTGGGTCTTTTACTGGAAGATGGCGACAGCAGGATGACGCTGTGTCTATCTCCCATATTCAGGCTGCGAGCTTGGTAAGACGGGGTCTGTCTCCCTTTCTCCACATGGAGACCAGAGCTAGCGCTGCTGCCTGCAGCAGGTCTTGCCTGGCATCTGGCAGAGGCAGCATCCTGGGCCCCAGGCACATGATGGCAGCATTGGGCAGCCTTTGGAGCAGGGGAGAAAGGAGAAACCAGGGCTGGTGTGAGCTGCTGGGAATCTTTTTATGCTGTACCTATGCAGTGAGGTGAGATAGGGCCCTTTGCAGAACGTGCTGCCAAAGGAAAGGGAACGCACATGGAAAAACATGATTTAAACTGAAACAAACCCAGGGATGTTGCTTTGAATTGGCAGAGCGCATTCATCCCCTGTGGCAGCACCATGTGATTGCCCTGACTCCTCATGGAGGTCCCCTGTGCCCTGGCTGGGGACCAGCTGAATATTGTGTGCACGAGGAGTGGGGAGCTGCAGGCTCTCATCTGCCCTCCCCTGTTTGCGTGGGATCCCCTGGACCTGGGGGAGCAGTGGGGTTGGAGGTTTCAGCGTGGGGTGGGAGGGCAGAGGCTGCAGACCCTCCGGAGGCACCCGGTCTGCGCTCCCAGGGTCGCTGCGTGCCTGTGTCCCTTTGAGGAAGACCTCGTCGTAGTCTGGTGCGACTGCAAGGAGGGCGAGCAGAGGTAAGCCTGGGCTCTTCCCGCTTGGTGCTAGAAAACCCTCGTCCAGCCGTACAATAGGTCTGTGGCAGCTGGAGCTCTGGATGATGGTGAAATGAAAGATACATAAAATACATTGATATTTAATTGAAACAGCTGAAAGAATCACTTTGTTACTGTAAAGCTTGAATTATTAACATTTTGAGCCATTGCAGCAGTTCATTTAATTGGACCCAGATTCCCTGGCCTAACCCTTGGCACTGCCTGGCTGGTGTAAATTTGATATAACGTAATGTAAAAAGTGCCAGTTTCACAGGAAATGAAGCTGGCAAGAAGCAGCAGCTCTTTTATTGTTAAAATGGATTTCCAAGACAAATAATTAAGGCTCTTTTTACTAGGATGTGGAAGGGAAGGCTGGTTCTCTGGATGTGTGAGGTACTGAGTGTCAAGTGCTCTGCCTTTTGTATGAGCTGATTTTTGGCATCTGAGTTTGAAAACGTGCACTTGTGTTTGAAAAGTTGTGGGCTTCTGGTGGCTGAGCCTGCACTTGAGAACTTCCACTGCGTTGCTCTGTGGATTAGCCTTATGCTAATTTGTTTAACACTACTCTTTTTGTATGCTTTCCTGGCAAAAACCTTCCTAGAACTGTTGTATGGGGAAAAAAAAAAGCTTTTTAGTTGCTGTTTGTTTGCTTGCTGAACTGGAATAAACACCAGAAGGAAAATTACTTTTTTTTTTTTTTTTTTTTTTTTAAGTTAATGCTTGTGAGCTGGTACTGGGAGGACTTTGGTGGTAAAAATTCAAGGGATGCCAAAAAAACCTAGAAAAGCCAGTCAGCTTAACTGAAAACATAAAAAAAAAAGCTGTGTTTGCATACATGACTTATTTTCTTTTTAAGCTTGAAAAGTAGGCGATTTTTTAACATTTGTTTCCTTTCCCTTTCTAGGCTAAAACTGCAGAAGGCTGGGAAGTCGTGGGAACGGTCAGCAAGCCAGAGGATGTGGAAAATGTTCCTGTCATCAGTTGCTTGGAATTTCGGTGGAATAAACCTGTCATTATAGTAATAGGTATTTCAGTTTACAGAGCTTTGGGCTTGGTGGAAGTGCATGTGTGAGGGAATGATCGGGGCGATGTTTCACTTGAAAGCTAGTTGCAGGTCTGTTACATTACATCACACTTTGGTCTGGAAAGGAAAAGCTGAGCAAGAAGGACTAGAATGATCTGGATGCAAATGAAATAGGCACCTAGAAGAAGAGGGGGAGCCGAGAAGCCTCCCAGTAGGAGCTGCAAGAACAAACCAGTTTGTGTAGATGAACAGGGAGTTTAGTAGCTGGAGAGGGTCTGGATGGCAATTTTCAGTGGCAGGACAGGTCTGGGTCAGTGTAGCCACAGTGTGTATTTTTGCATTGTGTTCTGCGGTGCTTTTTATCCTGTCCTAGAGCCCCAAACCTGGATTTTCTGTGTTGACAAACCACAAACCTGAATGAGAGACCCAAGAGGTATGTGCTTGCTCTTGCTGTGCTGAGGTTGTAATGGTGAGCTGTGCCATGTCTTTGCTCTGTCATGTTTCCCCTTAAAAAAACCCAGGAGTATATCTCTGTGCCCAGGTCTGGAAAGAAGCATGAGGAGCTGTTGCTGGGGATGACCTGAACACAAAGTTGGGCTTTGTGGCACGGAGACCAGTCAGCGGCTGCTTTTGTACACCTAGGAGAAGGCAGGGGCTGTTGGCTGCTGCGGTACCAGCAGGAGGAGCAGGCGTAACCTCCTCCCTGCCAGACCTGCGCACTGTTTGAGCAATGGGTGCCGCTTTCCTGAGCACCTAAACTGGGTGATTCCTACAGGGCCCTCTGCTTCTGCCCCCTCTTTGTGTGGAGGATACTGGAAAAGGATGCTGTCTTTCGTAGGCAGAGTTTGGGGTTGTGCAGCCTCCCAGAAGGTGAAGAGAAGGGGAGTAACAGCCTCGTGGCAGCTAGAGAAAGAAATTCACGCAGGAGTGCTGCTCTAGGCACCCTTGTGCGGCCATGCCGTAGCTCCCCACTTTGTGTCACCTGGCACAAGAGCTGGTTTGAGCTTTCACACTTGGAAGTAGTGTCATGCTGGCGATGAGCCATCAAGGGGCTGTAATCCTGTCCCGTGCTGTGGTTTTCTTGGCTCAGAAGACATTCCTTTAATTAAAATGTTTATTGAACTCCGAGAAATACTGACAAGACAACGCCGCAAATCTGGCATCTCTGCAAGATGTGTGGAGCTATATTATAAAGGGAGTAGGGAGGCTGGCAGCACTGCTGATGGACCACAAAGAAATGCATCCCAGAAACGACGACAACACCAGGAGAAAGGAAGGGGGTGAAAGCGGCAGTGGTGTCGTTACCTTGAATTATGAGAGATTTCTCCAGGAAAAAGTCCAAATATCCTTTTGTCAAGGGAGATTGGAGGCTGATTGGTAGATGCATGAGGAGAGCTCCCGGACCTTGCAGCAGTAATGATTTCAACTCTCTGCTGAGCACTAACTCTTCGCTGAAAAGAAAATTGAACATTACAGTCGTCTGATGCTGAGGTTGTTTGAAGAAACGTCCTAGATCTGAATATGTAGCGTACCTGCAGCTGCAGAGAGCAGCAGAGATAATTTAGCATGGTAGTGAGCTTCCTAGCCTTGCACAGATTGTCTTGTAAGTTAAGCATTTGCAGACTTGAATTCACCCTCCTGGCATCCTCGCTGGCTTGGCAGAGAGTGATTTGGACAGTCCAGCTTAATCTTGTCGGCACTGGAATCATTGCCGAAGGTGACAGGCAGGCTGGCTGCCCTGAAGACTGGGAGCCTTGTGCGAACAGGAACAGATTGGGAGCAGTTAGATGTCTGAGCAAGAAGAGTTTCTGGGTAATTTGTTCTTCTTACACATGCAGTCTTTAGCTTGGGGTTTAAGGCTATTCATGGAATTGGTGGTTTTATCAAGATGCTCATTTTGCATATTTCTCTGAACTGTCAGCATGGCTGCGTCTGCCTGGATTTGAACTTACTGCACTGGAAACTGCAGTTGGTACAGTGGTGTTAACTGTAAACGGGGCAGGAAACCTGTTTTTTATCATTTCAGCCAAGCTCTAACTCTGGTCTTTGAGGCCTGTCAGTGAGGGACAAAGCGAAGAGATGGAAGTCAAAGATCTGAAGTGGGAAGTGTTTTGTTCACCAGTATAAACTAGGATTTAATCTGATTCAGTCAATACTCCCTCCCTTGTGTCACACTCTGTGCAAGTCTTTTTGCCCTGAATTTATGGTTCCTAATTATTTTAAGCAGCCAGAGCCATAAAAAGCTTTGTAAAAGCTGGAAGCAAAATTGCTGCCTTTATTAGGAATCGTAAGACCCTTATCAGGGAGAGGAGAGGATTGCTCCAGGAGCTATTGCACCTCTGGCAATAGCTGCTGTCCCAGTTGGAGAGTCCCACGAGAGTGTGGTTTGAGAGGCTCAGGAGGCAAATTCAACTGTAACTTGTAAAACTTTTCTGTGTTGAATCAGGAAAAAGTAGGATAATACAATCTTTTTTTTCTTGAAGCATCCCCAGAGAGCCACAGTCTAGTGATGAAGAGGCAGGCTGGACCGTGGGATGCCTGGCTTTGATTCCTTGTGTCACCCGGGCTTCCCCTGTGACCTTGGATAACTCACCCAGGCCTTGTCTGCACTGCTAGCTTGCAGCAGGAGGAAAATAATGGTTAGGATGGGATTTCGTTTTTCTTAAGGTTTGTTTACCCCAGCCAAAGGATGCTTTTGCCTGTATGGCTTATTTCTTGTGGGATGGTGAGGCAAGATGCATTACCCAAAGCATTCTTTTCCTTACACAAAATGCATCTTGCCAGTTAGATCAGGCCAGCAAAACATGAGACTGGGCCTCAAGTTTCCAGTCTGTGAAATGGGAATAACAACACTTTCCTACCCTGTGCAGTCAGAGGGGTGTCACACAGATCAATACACAGGGATGGGGCAGGGGAGCTGCTGGGGAGGTGCTGTAGGTAGGCAACAGGGGAAGAATTTCGTTGCAACTTAGCCGAGCAAGGAGCTTGTTTGCCTTACAGAGGAATGAGTCTCCAGAGCCATAAAAGTGCCAAAAGCATCCGTGTATGGTGTTAAAACTTCAGGTAAGTGTCTACATTTAGGTGAGCTGAGCGAGGCCTTGGTGACAGCACTGGTCACACAGGCAGAGGCGCAGAAGCCCTTGGTAGGCAGCGTGTGCCCCACCAGTGCTATCCCAGGACGAGTCTGGGGTTCAGCTGGAGTCGGGGTATGGCTGTTGAAGGGGAACGTTCCAGCATGCTGAGCCTGTTTTGTCAGAGGGTGAGCACGTCTTTGAAATGAGCTGGCTATTCTTGCAGCCGTGTAGCTGTCTGTGTAGCTCTAAATAATGAATGTGGAAGAATTCTTTGGGGAGCCGAGCGGGCTGGGAGGTCTGTGGTCTTCTGCATTTTCACTTGTCTGCACGCAGGATTGTTTAAAGCCTCTCCCTTTCCATTTCCCTTTGTGACAGTGTGAGTCAAACAACTACTAATGACCTGGGATAGATTTCAACTCTGTTTCACCAGTGTATCAGCCCAAACATATCAGGGCTGTTGGATGGTTTAACAACTAATCAATTGAAGCCTCTGGTTAAACTGTCTGCATTCACAAGTTGCACCCAGCTGGTGGTACTGTGTGCTGAAAAGGCTGAACCCGTCAGTATCAATAGGGATGTGGGATTTGCTGGACCAGATCAGGCCTGTGGCCTCTTGTCTGCCTTGTCCCTCTGGCAGCAGCCTGCGCACGTGGGCAGCTGTCTGCTGGCACGGTGGCTACTTGCGCAGGGGATCTTTGCGCTCGGACTACAAGGCTCTGCGCTTTACGCTGTGCTTGCAGGCGTGTTGCACAGGTATTCCTCAAAAATGCCTCAGATATTGGAGAACAGAGCTGGGAAGGCTGGAGTGAGCCAGGAAGGGAAGGCAGGTAAGGTGCCCATCTTGCTTCTGGTAGTTCTTGGCTGTTGCTGCATGGGAGCTGGTGAAGTTGCTGGTGAGCTTAGGGGCAAGGGTGTAGTTGTGACAGAGCACTAGTAATAACTGTACTCAGGAGGGGGGGGAAAGGGACGTGGCAGCGGCTGTGAGCTGACCTGAGCAGTGTCTTTCTTCTGCAGGTAGTGAAGGTGACGGACTTTCCCTGGAGACGCAGCTCTTGTGCCATCGGATGCTGGCCATACCCCCTGGCAGAGCGCTTCACCCTGGGATCGAGTCGCTGAACGTCTCTGTTGCTACTGGTAAAAACAGTTCTGAGCGCAAAGGCATCATGGTCCAAATTTCTGTATTTAAAAATCAAAAAAACATCCAGGCCTGCAGAATTATTGTCTTGTGGTTTAAAAAAAGATAGGTTTTAATTTATTTATTTATTTTTACTTTCCTTCAGGTATTCTCCTGCACTCCATCTGCAGCCAAAAGCTGAGGCACGGTGATTGAATTTTTTTTTTTTTTGGCGGGGAAAGCTGTTCAGCATTTCGTGGCTGTGCTCTGTTGGTGTGGATATGGAAGTGCTGTTTCCAGGGTCTTCACCATTGCTGCAAGTTACGCGAGAGCCCCGCTGACCTGAGCTACATCTTGGCTGACTTGCGATACCACCAGAACCCTGGCTTAACGCTGAAGTCAGACACCTGCGTGTACTGGGTAACACCTCCCACCGGCAGCTTGGAGGAGCAGCTGCAAGGAACAGAGACAAAGCTAGGTTTTAAAAACATACAGCCAAATCCTTCAGTTCTTGCAGTAAAATACCTGGTGATAGCTGCAAGCATTGTGCTTTTTTGCATGGGGGACTTTGTATGTCGCTCGTGCTGTGGAGAGAATTTGGGCTGTAGATGAGAGTGCGTGCTTGGCTGGTGCTCCCGCTGAGAGCAGCCATGCCCTGTGCCCACGCTGTGTCCCATGCCCGAGCCCACCGCCCCCTTAGCAGCCGAGAGGGTGCTGGTGAGAGCCAGGTATGATTTGGGACTACTCGGTAGCAATTTCTTCACGACGAGGTGGTTTCTCTGTTACGTATTGCTGCTTGAATGTCTGGAAACACACCGTGTTGTATTTAGTTATGAACTGGGTCTGCAGCCCTGCCAAAGGATGGACGTGAGCTGTTCGAAAACAGCTGTAGTGGGGAAAAACGCAGCCCATTGAAATAAAGCCTCTGTAAGATTGGTTGTAGACTCAAATCAATCCTTTGTGTGTCATATATAAATCCAGAACGTGATTAGTGGAACAGAGCGCTTCCTTCAGGTGGGAAGGGGAATCAGGAGCTTGTTCTCTTCTGGGGAAGTTTCCTTTCCATGGTGAGGCTGATCCTACTGGATGCTGAGCTGCCCCAGCACCACCATCCCCACTGATGGTATGGGGGGGAGGGGTGAGGGTGGCTTCATTTGCAAATATCCTGGTTGAAAACCAGGCTGGCTAAATTATTGAGAACCAAATGAATGTTATCACTTAGCACCTTAATTATTTTATTTAGCTACTGTGGCCCTTTGCATAGGATTCCTCATTAACACTTAATTTACAGTGCCCTTTAGGGATAATTTCAAACAATTCAGCTTAGTCTCCCCCCTTCCCCCCTTCCAAATGAACAAGTAAATCACTCAGAGTGACTAATTAGGACTTTCCTTTGAGCTAAATGAAGTCTGTAAACCGGTCCGTGGATGTGGAGGTTTTTCACGTGGGTCTCTGGGAGGGCCTGGCCGGTGGGTGCTGTGGTGGTGGGTGGCTGCGGGGCTGGGGACGCCCCAGGTGCCCGGGATGGGGGACAGGACAGGACACGGAGCTCTTGAAAGGCGTCGAGTACTCGCTTCTGTGGCTGCGATGGAGAGGGTGCCTGGCGCGGTGGCATGTATCCTGAGCTGTGGCTGCCCCTTCGCCCTCTCCGGTGGAAAAGGACAAAACCCAAATCCCTCCGAAACGATGGTTGTTATGCAAGCAGGGCTTTGTTGCCCGAGTCTGAAGGGGAGCTGGTCACTGCGTAGAGGTGAACTGGTGCATTGCTGGGGTGACAGCTCTTGCGTTTTGTGGGCTGAATGTGTCTTTTTTTTCCACCCCCTGCTTAATGCTGAAATAAAAAGGCTCAGGGCCCGGGAGGCTGCAGGCCAGCCCCACCACCAGCCCTGCTCACGCAGCCGTGGGTGCCCCAGCAGAGGGTGCCCGTGGCTCAGATTTGCTCATTTTTTGGAGGAAAGAGTCAGCATTTGGGGCTAACCGAATCCTTCCTTTCGAGCAGCAGGGATGAGGATAAAGCTGTTTCTTTATTCTTGACCTATAGGTAAGTATATATATCTCCGATTTCATAGGAACGGCAGTTTCTCTTTTTTTCTTTTTTTTTAATCTGAGCAGTACTTTAATAGAGCATGCATTTCACTGGCTTTGCGTGTTTGGGAAAGCTGGGTGCTGCCAGGCTGTGCTTAGCCATGCCGGCTCACCCCCTCTAATGAGGAGGCAGGTGAGTAACGATGGAGCAGTTACTTTACTTCTGGAAGGCTTCCAAAAAGCTTTGAAACCTCGGTGCCCGCAGCGGCTCTGCCGATGGGGTGAGTGAGGTAGGTTGAAGTTCCCACAGTCACTCGTCCCGTCAGTCCAGCAGCTATCGTGACTCCCCTGCAAATTTCCCCGTACAGCTGTTGTATCCATGGAGCACCTTGATTTGGCACTGGAGTATCAGACAAGGTTTATTGGGAGTTGCATGAGGCTTGAATTTTAAGAGATGGGAATTTGAGCACGTAACTAGGGCTGCAGCTCAGACTTTTTTGCTTGAGAGCTGCAATACAGGCTTTTGTGAGTGCAGTAAATCCCACTCCAGATGGCTCTGCTGTTTGCATTTAGCCGTTTCCCTTGTTGGTAAGTTTTGGCCCCGCTTTGTTTCACCGGGATGCCCCCTGCCATCGCCCGGCTGGCTTTGCATGTATCTGCCGCAGCTGATGCTTTCTCCTTCAGCCCCAGCTCCATCCTGCTCTGGGCTGAGACCCG